AGAAAATTTGTATGCAAACCACGGCATTCCTTTACCACAGAAAATTAAATAAATTCGTCTATAGTAGCAATAATAAGATATCTACAGCATAAAGCCCGAACAAACTGCGAATTAATGCTTTCAATAGATTGTTGAGATTCTGTCATTCGCTGAGTCACAGTAAAACACGTTGAAACTTCCAGCCGCACGAAGGAGAAAATGCAAAGAAATGGTCAAAGAATCTCAAGTGAGTGTCAGTAGTGCCAAAATGCCACTACGAAATATATACATACATATGTGTATTACATGTAGTTTCTGTGTATATAATGCGGGTTCGTTGTACGCACTTTTATGCATACATAACTACATACATACACATTTACAAACATTTTATGTTTTAAGCATATATTTTGTCTAAGCATTTGTGCTTATGTATGCGTAGAAGTTGCTGGTTGCTAAGAGGTAACTTAATTAGGTCAGTGTGAATACCATTACGAACTGGGCGAAAATGAAGTTAAGAGTTTTACGAGTTTTGCTGTTGTGTTCTAACCGCCAGCGGAGACATTTTGCCTCCGGTTATAGAATAAAACAAACACATGCGGTTTTTTAGAAAGCAAAACTGACATTTCATGCTTAAATTTTAAATTAAGCTTAGGTGCGCTTGTTTCTAGGCAGGCATAAATGCTGATGAAAAGGGAGAATATTGTATAATATAATCGATATTCATATGCTGTTTATGAGATTGTATGTAAAATGTGATGAAAGCTAATCAAAGGCATAAAATGCCGCTATTTTCTTCCGTATCAAAAACTAACCAAAAATTACTTCAAAATAGACATATTTTAGTCTTCTGACAGTGCTGACATTTACAACAATAAAAACATTGCTAACGCTTGTATTTTTATTTGAAAATATAGTATATTGAAATACATACATCATTATGCAATCTAGATATGCACATTCACCATAAAAGCACGATGAAATACGAAAGTTAGGATAATGATGAAAAGAAAAGTTTAATTGCCAATAAAAGTGACATGCCATTTTAAATTAAACGCATACGATTTTAATCAATTAATTGCAAAAACAGATCATTAAACAATAACACATCTGATTAGTTGTAAATTTATCATAAGCTCTTTATAAATTATTGTGTAGCGAAAAGTCGGAAAGAGAAAGTGCAGTTCACCTTTCGCAACAATTTGACCCAAAAAAATTTAATTCCGTTGCAAAAAAGGTAAAAATTGGGCAATCAATAAAATATAGTGTATGGAAATTGGTATCAAAAAAATTCGACATAGAAATCAAAGCTTTTAAAATGAATAAAACAAAATATCAAAAGCAGTGCGAAACACAGCAAACCAAGAAAACTAAATTAAATACACAGAAGGTAAAGCGAATCTTAGCAAAGTAAAAATTAATAAAAAAAAAAAACAAGAGAAAACGTTAACTTCAGTTGCACCGAAGCTAAATACCCTTCACAGGTGCATTTCTGTTAGTAATTATGTGTTCAGTTTGTATGGAAGCTATATGCTATAGTAACACGATCTGAAAATTTTTTTCGGAGATTATATTATTACCTTAAGCAGTAATCCAAGTCAAATTTCGTGAAGATACCACATCAAATGTGAAAGTTTTCCATACATGAACTTGATTCCGATTGTTCAGTTTATATGGCAGCTATATGTTATAGTTAACCGATCTGAATAATTTCTTCCGATATTACATTATTTTTATGAAAAATAACTCTTACCAAATTTCGTGAAGATATATCGTCAAATGAGGAAGTTTCTCATGCAAGCATTTGATTCCGATCATTCAGTTTGTATGGCAGCTATATGTTATAGTTAACCGATCTGAACAATTTCTTCGGAGATTATATTGTTGCCATAGAAAATAACTTGTGCCAACTTTAGTGAAGATACATTGTCAAATGTGAAGAACTTGATTCCGATCGTTCAGTTTATATGGCAGCTTGTATATGTTATAGTGTTCCGATATCGGCAGTTCCGACAAATGAGTAGCTTCTTGAAGAGAAAATGGTGTTTGCAAAATTTCAAAACGATATCTTAAAAACTGAGGGACAGACGGACAGACGGACAGACAGACAGACGGGCATGGCTAAAACCGAATCAGCTCAACATACTGATCATTTATATATATACTTTATAGGGCCTCCGACGCTTTCTTCTCGGTGTCACACACTTCGTGACAAAATTAATATACCCTGTTCAGGGTATAAAAATGCATTTAAGTGATTTTGGAGTAGGTCTAACATACATATAGAGTACATACATATACATATGTATTTTGTCGAACTCTACGTTTATAATATTTAATTTTGGTCATTTTCCGCGCTTATCTAGGTAATAATTTTCAATTAGAAACTTGTGGATTTCAAGTTTAAAAATTGTGTAAACTTTGAATATTTGTCGCCGTAATTAACAAAAATAAAAATAATAAAAAGCAAAGTCTGCTCGCGCGGCATATGTTTTATTTATAGGCAATTTGTTTACACAAACTCATTACTGCATGGGGTTAGTTACTGGGTACACACGGATACATGCCGCCGCCATTAACGCCGTGGATGCTGAGCATAAAAACGTGAACTGTTTTTGCACCGCGCAGATAAAAATATTTGTAGCAACTTCGTTTAAGGTTAAACAACAATAACCATATACAGGCATATATATGTACATAGTAGATTTTATGAAAGCAGAAATCGCTTGTACTGGCGAAATGAATTTAATTCCATTTTATAACCTCAAATTCTTATCACATTGCGTCTACGTCTGTTGGCATTGTGGCTACCCTTTTGGTGGTTTACCTAAATGACGTTGAAAAATTATTACTCTACTTTACTATTTGTTCATTAACTATTTATCTAAAGAAACCGCGTCGCCATTGTCTTGCGGACCGTAGCTATTTGAATTTAATTATCAAGTAAAACGAAAACAAAAAGTTAAAATAGAAAACATGTTTATCTCGAGCATTAATGTTGGTGTATTTGAATTGTATTCAAATTCTGGTTTTTGGTTTTTATTTTATCAACCAGCAGTTGTGACTTCCGGAAAAAAAGATCACTAGTTTAATTTTCGCTAAAATAAATTCTGTGGCGATTGTTATCGATCACTATGTGAATTGTTAATTGTGGAGCAACTTTTTCAATGTTATTTAGAATAACCGGTTAACTGTTTAGCTATGTAGATGATTGACATTATTTAGGTGTAAAATTAGGGCACCAAATTCGTGGAATTTACGAAATAAGTCAACTAAAGGATTATTAAAAAATTTAATTTATAATTTTTACGCTTTTTTACTTTTAAAATTAGAAAGTAATGAAAAAGTGTGTCTGCTGTTAAAAATTAAAAAAAAAAAATTAGCAATCTGCGAACTCATAATATTTCTACTGTTACTTATGGACTGTGGTTACCAACGAATTAATTTGAAAAGGGAGTGTCAAACTGAAGTAGAATACATCTTTGACTGAACAAAATTATTACTTTAAGCACAATGAACCTGATCAATGAAGAATGACTCCCTTATTAAAATTTTTACAGATACAACTTCTGAAGCCTCTGAAGCTTCACATGCACAAGTACGCTTATACATCTACGTATATATAGAAACACAACACTGAGTTACTCGCTTTTTCGGTGAAAATGTATTATCGGAAAAAAATTATATATTCCGTACATATCCGTAGACAATTTTAATGTAAACAAAAATGAAATATTTTCGCAGAAAATCACTATCTGCAATTCATTATATCCGCCACGCTTACGAAATTTTCCAAAATTGTTTACATATCAAAATATATGTACATACATAATAATTTGGATATGTATTTTTATCTCCGAGTTACACAGTTCTTTCGCCATATTTCTGCATTTTCGCCGGGTCAGCTGCAAAGCATTAACAATTCAAATTACAAAGAAATAATACAACAATTTTGTACGTAAATGCACAAATGTCAAGTGGGCAGGCGAACTCTCGGTCACTATTCTCCCGCCGGTATTGACACTTTACCCCATGCCAGGCAACGCGACTGGGCATCGAATTATCATAAATGCATTAAAAAAAACATAAACGTAACGAATGGAATGGCACTCAATGGGATAAGTTTGTACCGCAAATAGGCAGACAGACATTCTTTCGATGTTGCACAGCGTCTTGGCTGGAGCTAACAGCGGACCATGCACATGCCAAGGCTTACACAAGTGCACTTGAATGGAATACGAAGTGGGAGCAGATAAACAATAATGCGACAACAATGTGTACGCACCGTGGCAAGAAGACAGTAAGCACTGTATGCTATGTACATATACAGGAAGAAATGTGGCAGACAGCTAGCAAGAAAAAAAACAAAGAAAACTAAAGAATTTTAATATAAATACAAGTGTAAAAGGAAAGCGAATTGGGTGAGAAACAAAGGAATAAAAGAAGAAACGACGATTAAGGTGGAATGAAACGATTTGTTGGAGCTGTTTACTCAAAGACTCCAAAAGTGGAGCCAGGGATAAGAGAAGACAAAAGATATTTCTGCTTGCCTTTCTACACTTTCATTGCTTTTATCACGTGTGCCTACAGTTTTTTCTACTTATATATTTGATCTGCTTAACCAGATCCACGTAATATTGTGTAGTTTTACTAAAAACACGTTCTCCGAAAGAAAGATCAACGACTCCTTGTTGTGGGCTACACTTTATAGCAATAATTTCAAAAAAGAAACAACAAAACACAAAGCAATAAAAGTTAGAGCTTTGAGAAATAGACTTTTATTGATTTCAGTGATTGTGCGTAAAATTTTATCCCTAACCGTAACGCAACCAAAAGGATTAAAATTTGTAACTACTAGCTTTATTTCCGATGTCAAAAAAATTTAATACACACTTGAACTATATGCTATTACTTCAAAATCATAGTTTTCGTGCGTAAAAGAAAACATTTTTATAATAATACCTAGCGTTTAATGAATAAATTATATAAAATTTTTTAAATTAATTAATTTTGTTACATACCTTCATCAAGCAGACGTTCCACGTGATTGAAAACATTTGGAAAAGCTGCCATTTGTTTGCGATCCTTCAGCAATTGTGCCAAATAATCGGCTATGCTTTGTGTGCTCTGGTGTTGTTGTTGAGGGGTAGCTTGAATGGTAACGGCGCTAGCATCACACAGACTCATTTTGAAGCTGTTTTTTGTTTTTCTTTAGCAGTTTTTAAATAAAAAAAAATGTGTTTACAAAAATGGATAATTCTAATGGCTCAATCAATGAAAATTCACTAGCCGCACACAATTCTTTGTAAAGTTGTTGTGGTTTAAAATTCCAACTGATTTTTTAAACGTAAGTAAATTATTGCACTTAGTTTTTGCTATATTATGAATGAGCGTTCCAAAAACTTAATTTTACCCAATTCATTTATTTTTGTTGTTGAATTTACAATTATTTAAATTTGATATTTAGTCTGTGTTATTGGTTTATTTGCGATTGTGACACGTTTTTCCAATTAACTATAATTATGAGAAATTTATTTATTATTTTCATATATTTCCTCTTAACCAAATCAATTGCAGAGTGAACAATAAGTGGCAGAACTTGGTAGGAATTATTGCGATTATGCTGTACGTTTTCATTGAATCCAATTCTCAAGTGTTTAAATACATGTTTTCCAATTTCATTAAATAAGCACATATTAACGATGCACTCTTGTAGGTAAAACTCGGTTATTATGGCACATAATGACAAGAGCATAAAATAAAATTAAATATGAATATATTGAAATTCAGAAAACGAAATGGAGTACTAATGCTAAATGCGAAAACTACTTTAATTACAGCAAAAACAAACAGATGTGCCGTGTCATTTGTTTGTAGCTGCAGTGAAATGTGCTGCCGACGAGAAGGCGGAATTCGCGTAGGATCATTAGCAGACAAAGTGACAAAAGGGGTGTAATGCAAATGCAAACGCTTTATAAATTAAAATCAACAATTTCTTCAGTTGTACTTGTAATTTGCTTTTGCGTTTGCACATTTTTTTTTTTTTTTACTATACGAAGAAAAGTCATTCGAATCCAGTCGATCGTATTTCTTGTATTTTCCCCGCTTCTCATACGCCTTCTATTTCTGTCCGTACGCTCCTGTTTTGAACGCAAATAAAGCCGCTGCGTCGCTGCTCAAAATAACGCAAGCGTCGCAGTTTTCATTAGCTTCTCGCTTGCTTCGTTCATTACTTTGGTATTTTTGTTTTTGCCTGCTTTTTCGAATTACGCTTTCTGCAGTCAATTCGTACGGCAAGTCGTTCGATCTGTGCATTTAGCTGTTTGCTACACACACACACACATACACATTTATATGTGTATAGGCTGACAATGCGGATAAACGACGAGATGAAAGCGGAATGTCAAACAGATTTATTTCTTATATTATATGCTGCGCTGCGATGCCTTGCGCCGTTGTTTTCCACACTAGTGGAGTGGAGTAAATAAGCTGCTAAAAATATTTCATTTAACTAAAAATACACTAGACGGAAATGGGAAAGCTCGCTTGCCGACACTACATAGTTCCCCCGCCCAATTTCACTACACAACACTAAAAATTTCCATACACAATTCTTTTTTGGACTCTCGGAAACTATGCGGAATTGTCAAGAATCGCGCTGCGCAGTCGCTACGCAGCTTGGTTTGGAATGAATGGAGGCAACGACGACTGCGGCTGCATTGTTGTTTGCTTCAACAATTTGCTTCGATTCTTGCCCTTTAAAAACGAGCACAAGTATTACAACAAAACAAAAAAGTAAAAATTTGTGGAATTCCAAAGCATCTCTGCAATTGATTTTGGCTTAAGACACTGTTCACTTTAAGTTTATTTTATTTGATTTTTGGTCCATTCACGTACTTTTTGTGGTTTGTTAAACGTTTCACGCTTTATTTGATCGCGGTTGAAAATCCAAAGGAAGAATTTAAAAAATTTTTTGTGTGTATAATTACTATTTAAACACACTCAAGATTTGCTATTGAACGCGAAGTATGATTTTTTGAATAACTAAACGCGATGACTCCAAGAACAAAACTGAAAAGACACGAAACGAAAATTTCGCTTTCAAGCGATCGCCGCAGTATTTTCTTCGGAAACGAGATTGCATTTTGTTTTCGTGTGGGTTTTTAATTCTCTTCGGGCTGCGGCTTCAGAGTATATCGTTGGCTCGCTCGCACAGTTTGTTAGCGCGTACCGGTCAACGGTTGCGTGAGCAGGCTAGACGAGTGTGGCACCGATCAAATCAACCAGTTTGTATAAATGTACCATGGGAACAGTGGAAATGAGTCAAATGCGATATTTGGGAACGCATTCAGTATGTGTGGGAAGTTTACTAAAAATAATATTTCGAAAAAGGGTCTTCCGTTTAGGTCGCTAAAGAATGGCAGGGCATTTTTGCGATTTGTTATTAATTTAGCAGTTTGGTTATAATAATAAAAGGGAAATTAAAAAAAATTTAATTGATAAAATGTCGCAGTGTTTATATATTTTCATACTTTTGTGTAAAATTTATTTCACAGTGGTACACATCCAACAGATATATAATATATATATTATAAAAATGTGAGTTTTTGCAATGTTTACCTTATTGAAATGAGTATCTCTGTAAAGATATAATTTTTGATTTGGGCTTTTGACAGTAATTTCTATTTTTTAAGTCCTTCTGAAATGTACATTTTGTCACTTTTTGTTTTGTTAAAAAAATATAATTCTTACTAGGCCTTCGATCATAATATCTGTAATAATGACCATCAAAAATAACATTTTTTTTGTTTGCTCTTTGGATTTGGTCAACTTCCTCCTGGCGATCGGCTACGGGAATAACAGGATACAAAAAATTTCAAAATTATTCACCGATTATTAAAATACTTCAAATTCTATAAATGTTCACTTTTTATTTATTTTTTAAATACAATCTCTCTTCAAAGAAAAACTCACAAAAAACTCGTTTTTCTGACTTCCAAATGGATATAGCCCCTTAAATACATCGTAATATGTTCTAGAATTTGCTATTTCATTTCGTAGAACTGTGTTATGTAACACATGTAAGTTAAAATATTTTTATTTCCTTGAACAGCTGAAATCAAGTTTCAGTTGTCTTAGACGATAGATATCTTGTTATCTTTAGCGCTAGTTCTAGTTTCCTTAAATGGCGCTACAAGTGAGGAGGAGGATAATTTGGTTATTCCACTTTATTGTTTCAGCTTGTTCTTTGTTCGATTTTTTTTATATATAACTGAAACATATACATACAAAACCTAAGGCTCCTACGTGCGAAAATTAAAACAAAAAAACAACAAGAAACAGTTTTATACCAAAAGAAAACTTTGGAGTTCTCAAAATGGTAATGGCAGCAATCATTCTGCTCAAGGTGTTTAAGTTGAGCGTTCTAAGAGGCAGCCATGAAAATTTCGGATTAGCATATACATGTACATCCATATGTATGTATGTAATATCCATGATAGAGTCGATCAATTTGCATGTTTTTAGCAACACGTATACACACACACATATGGTGGAGAAGTGAACCTCTACTTCACTCTATTACTCGTACAAGAATAATACTTACACATATGTACACATGTAAATATGTATATTATGCATATTTCTGCTAAAAAAATGTTTAAACCATATTCTCACTGTCATAAAAACTTATGTATATAGATTATTAGAAAAGGTTAGGTTAGACGGCTGATCTAGAGGAATCGCACGTGGATTGCTATATATAGTCCTTTGTGAAGCCATAGAAATGAAGAACTCCTGCGGACGAACTTATAAATTAGCAAAACGTTTGATTTCCATCCCCGCCAGTTCGGTGGGATGTTTGAACCCAGAAACGTGGGAGAGTCAAGAGGGAATTGTTTAATTGCTTCCACCTCATCTTCTTCCATACAGCTTCTGCAGATTGCTTCTGCTTAGATCATTCCGTCTAACTCAATTTTTGCAAACCCTTTTCGAAAATGCCCAGGGGCAGTCAGTCCAGTCTGAAAAAGAAAATAATCGTTTTACCAAGAATGTTGCCAATTGAACATACGACAATTTAGCACTGTTGCTTTTTTCGAAAGTGCTTCACAGAAAAATCTATTAGTTCTTGACGCCATTCATGAAATTAGAGACTTTATTTGCAATTACTACGAATGTTACATACATGTGTCTACAAATACTTTTTATTCTACCCAGAAAAAATACTAAATATGTACATACGTCTGTACAAAGTCGTATCAAATGTGTAAACTAATTAAAAATAAATACTCAAGTGAGCATTCTTAATTTTGTTTCCATAAATTTTTGGCTCAATTATCATCGCATAGCCATCGGTAATATTTAATGTGGGAAAATTGTCATTTAGCGAAGGAATTCGGCGATTAACGTGTTAAAAGCATTAAAAGGAGATTTTCTTATGCCCGCCACTACCAACATAGTTATGAATATATGAATGTAATAAAGTGTTTTCATTGTTATTGTATTTGTATTTTTTGAGAATCACATTACATTTTCGTTGTTGAATTATTTAACGCATTTTTTGGTAAAATCCAAGTAGCAAAAATAACAAATAACTGCTGTTATATAGTTTGAACGGTCGGTGGCGCATGCGCAACGATTGGGCACACTTGCTGTATCCAGCTTGTCAATCGCTGTAACCAATGGCTGGCAAGTGGCGTCAACGGTTTAATGGCAACAGCCATTTATGGCATAACATCATGTGTTAAGGATTCTCATAGCCACTACTTACATACTTACGATATGTATTATATATACTAACATAAATTTGCACATACACACATATATATGTATATATATAAGCAGATCGTAATTTAACGTACGTTACAGCTGTAGCGCAAAAATACAAGAATATCAATTGCACCGTTGTTTTTTTGTGGAGCTAATAATATATATTGTATAAATACGAAAGTTTGTTGATTTAATACATTACATTAGTAGTGACAAAATTTTAGCTCTTAGGTAGCATTCTATCTCTTCTTTTCTAAATGCCAGCCGTTTTTTTTTTTTTCGCTGTTTGGCTCCAATTGGTGCTTCCAAGTATACTTGTCTCTCTTCCTTCTCCAATTTGCCTTTGCACCTGCTCGATGAAGTTCTGCAGCTCGAATAGTTGTCTCGAGAAGTAGATGGAAGTAGTCGCACGAAACGGAGTCGCCTTGTCCGAAACCTCGTTTGATATCGAACGGCTCGGAGAGGTCCTTCCCGATCCGGACAGAGCTTATAGTATTGCTCAAAGTCAGTTTACACAGTCGTATTAGTTTTACGTGGATACCAAATTCAGATATAGCGTCATAAAGGCAGCTCCGTTTCGTACAGTCAGAAGCCCCTTTGAAATCGACGTAGAGCTGGTGTGTTTCGATCCTCTTTTCACGGGTATTTTCCAAGATTTGGCGCCAGTCACCAGGTCACCTCTGGGAATTCAATAATTTTTGGGGTTGCAAGTCGCAAAAAAATCTTTAAAGCATTTTATTTAAAAAATATAAATATTATACAATTAAAGATTTCAATGTATCCGTTTCAAAATCGGAGTTTCAATTTAAAAAATTTCCGATAACCATGATCCGGTAGTCAATCATCTGGAGAACCTCTGAAAATTTCTCTATTCCCTTGATCCGGTTGCTAATATCCAAGAGAACCTCTGAAAACAGGTGTCTAGCGGTGAGGAAAATTTTTCTACTTTTATTTATCTCACGAAGGTAATGAAGGAAGTATTAGTCAACATGGTTTTATATTTTGCATTCTAAAAAGTACTCGGTTTTGTCAAAAATTTCTTTAAGGCTTACAAAATCGCAATTATTATTTAACTGATCAAAATTATATTCGATATTTTCTTTTGGTCACAGAGTAATATGATGGATATATATGATAGAGTTTTTTGTGTTTTCGAAACTAAACTAGATCTCATATACACATCTCATCCATCGAAACTGCACCTGATAGGCGCGAAGTATTTGATTAAGTTGTTAAAGCGCATAAAAACACATTATGCATTTCTATTTTGTATGAAATCGGTTAAGCATCAATAAAAACAAGGCTCATTCTCCTGGGATTACGCAGGCTTGGAATACCAACAAACCAGCTTTACATTCATATACATAAGTATGTATAAGTATATGTTTGCATGTGTGTATGTGCTATATATGCGATATGTTCAGACTTATTGGCATACTAAGTGCCCGCATGGGCATTAATTGTAGTCTGTATTTCTTGTTGTCACTCGTAAAATGTGTGATTATTCAAAAACAAAAATTCAAATAGGCTGTAAGAAGCCAACACCCACACTTGCTTTCGGCCGCCTCGCTTTATTGTGTTGCGTATTTCGGTGTGTTATGTGTGTGGTGTTGTTTTTAGCTTGTCGTGCTTGTGTTTTTGTTGTGGTTTACAACTGCAATCGATTGCTTGTTGCTGTTGTCGGTTGCGGTAGTGGTCGTGATTGTGGTTTTATTTCGTTTTGTTAGCCTTCGACTTAAAATTTTTAATATCACTTGATGTCATTTGTCGTTTTTGATTTTGCATTTTGTTTTTGTATTTTCTCTATCATTTCTATTTTTTTTCTTACACCTTATTTACGTTCCGTTCCATTTTAAATCCACATAAGGGCTTTCGTGTCTCCAGTGTGTGGGTTTAATATTTTACACTTTGTTTTTTAGATACTTTTTAAGACAATATAACCGTTAAATGCAAGAAATTTCAGTTAACTTCTTTTCGTTGCTGCATAGACGACTAGACCCTTGCGATAACAGATGGAGTTTAGTTACTGTCCTTGAGGTGTAGTCATCCTTTACGATGCCTGCGTTTGATATGAATTTTAACAGACTCTGCGGCCTCACTATCAATAACTCCTCCACTGTATCATCCTTTGTGGACCCCACGTGCTTACGGCGTAGTCTTGCCAACGCGGGACAATTACACAAGACTCCATTGTTTCTCTGGCAACTTGCTCCAGACGTTTAATGCAGTATTCGCGGTCTATCAGCCCCATTATGCGGGCGTGTGTTGCCTCCAGACAGAGATCAGTTCCGATT